GTTTTTAAAAACACAGCTTGCTTGTTTTTGACTTTTTCGGACATGGGTGTGTCGCCTTGTAATCAAGAGGTTTGGGTTTAGACCTTTTGAGTGCCTGAAGTTTTTTTCGGGTTTAACAATTAAAAAAGGGGCAGTGTTTTTTTTTAATTTTTAAAAAAACCCGTGGCTTTAAAAAAGGGGAAAATATAGTTTGATTAATCAGAAAAGGGGAAAAATTTAAACCACTAAAAAGGGAATTTCCCCAACTTTTAAAAAAATGTAATTCAATTTTTAAAGGGGGTTCCTTTGAGGTTTTTTTGTCAGAGGGACGAAATATTTTTCCAGAAAATGTCCCCTTTTTGAGAATTTTTAAAACACTAATCTTTGTACAAACCCTTTTAGATCTTTTTGGCACTTCGTTTTTCCAGAATGTTATTCAAATTGTAAAAAGATGACCCAAAATGAAATGACTAGACTTTAAATAGATATAATAATTTATAAGGTCAAAATAAAATTATTCTGAAATATTCAAGAATGTGCCCCATTGGTAGAGACGTAACGGCCGTGACAAGACCAAAAAAATTGTAGGCGTATATGCCGGTTTTCCTGTAAAGGCAGACATCTGTGTAATATCAATTTGTAAAATCTGTCGGTTTTGCAGTCTAAGTATGATCGAAATGTCTTGGGTACGAAAGACTCGAGATCTCCAAATTACTTCGAAATTATTTACGAAAGTTTTAGTCCTCGGAAACAAATTGGCATCAATAAATAAACTTAATATTATTAGTCATCAAATTCATAACATATTTTGCTTTATAACATACCTTATGAGCTTAACAGGCTGATAATTATGCTCGTGAAGTAGGTCGAAAAATATACCGAAGTTGTCGGATTCATTTAACCTAATTATCGGCTAATTCAGAGACGAATAGATTATCTACATCTCTGGCTAATTCTATTTCAATATCCACTTTGCAATTATAAACTACAAAATTTATCCGATAAATAATGTCTTTTTCAAAAATTCTGGAATATAATACAAAAAAATGTGATGATAAGGCGGATGAGTAAGTTAAATATTGCAAGCCGTCAAGCACTATGACCCAATTAATTTACTTTCCCATTCATAGAATTATGTGACCCCACAAATTATATCCGCTACGTTTCTAATACCGTAATTCAAGCTCAATTGCACATTATTTTTCAAAAAATAAATTTCTTGTCTCCACTTCTGTTCGCAATAAATCGAAGTTTTCAGAAATTCAGAGCACTATTTTTTCACTCGCGGCGGTTATGCGTCGGTCATGGTCGGGTGATCACTATGAATTCAGCTTAGCTTGATATGTTAGAATACAATATAGCATTTAGAGTGGCGATGAAACGTCACAGCAGTGGGCGTTACCCTGTATGGTTGGAAATTTCGGGTTTGTAAGTGCACTAGTTGGGACTACGTCCCAACTAAAAACGGACAAAAGTCAAGCAATTAAACAATCCCATAAAAAATCATATCCCTACTGACTGAAAGCGTAAACGGTGATATGATATTAAGAGCTTGAAAATTGAAAATACGTAGGCTTGGAATAATAATTCGTTCAATGAGCCAGATAATTGTCATTGCTCTTTTCGTAAAATTACGTAAAATGCGCGATGGTCGGAGGAAAGACGTTGCATCATACCTCCTGTTAACTTCTGAGATAAGATGTTTCATTTAACTTAATCATTATTTTGTTGTTTTTTGTTTGTTTTGTTTGTTGTTGTTTTCTTTTTTTTTCAGTTGGAAAAATTTCCACAAAACCCTCTGGTCATACAAGCTTCTTTTAATACAAGGCACGCTGTCTTATATTATTGTGTAACACGATTAATATAGGACTTACACATTAATATTGGACACCTACCTGTACTGTATTAAAAATACAGTACGATCAGAACAAAGGAATGACGTAACAGTGGTAATTTAATTCATGAAAATTTTTTTTGATAGATAATACGATAGTTGATAGTAAAAGTAGTAATCTAAGTAAGATATAAGCCGAAAACTGACCAGTAAGTTAAATATTGAATTCCCTTCGGCGCTACGCGTCTCATGAAATTCAATATTTTACATATTGAACAGTTTTTGGCTTATATCTACTACATAGAGTATTGTAATATAATTATTGTATATCAAATATAAAAGACACAATACTGGACATGTGAGAAAACACCAATTTATGAAAACTAACAATGTACAATCTTTAATTGTAATGTCCGATCATTTCCTTTGTTGTGAATTTGTCTGATCATTTCAGTGCAAAATAACAAAATGTAAATTTTTTAATTACAATCATTTTTATTACTAACAATTTCATTCACAAAACCAGATTAACATAAATCACAAAACTATTCTAGTAATAAGTATAAATAACTGTTTAAAAAAAAGAAAACTTGAAGAAATTTAGAAATTCATTGCAATCCATAAATTCCATTGAAGTATTAATTACTTGAACACACACTTCATTCTCTTTTGTTGCCGAACATTCTTTTTTAAAAATTGTTTGTCGTTCGCTTCAACATAAATTGTCGAGTCAACTAGCTGAAATATAAATCCTCATAAAAATATTGTTTAATTAGTGATAATATGGCAATAGAGTATCTTTTTCAATGTAAAACAAAACACCTTGTAAGTACACACAGACAATATGTTTTTTTTTTAAACTCTACACTAATCAAGTTAATAAATTGACAGTAAAAGAGGATGCATTCTCTTTTTTCAATTTAATCAATTCCGGATTGCAACTTTTGCATTTAAACTATTTTACCCAAAGGTGAGCATAAAACATTCTTTAATATTCTTTAGATTTTACGTTCCCTTATGTAAATGTCAAAATATGTTCGTTTCACTCCTCAAATTTAATAAACCTTTTGTCATTAAAGTTTATGATACAGTCGTATATCAACAGTGTGTTAATACAAATCGTTTATAGCGCCTCAAGGTTAATGTAAAGGTAGTGTATTATAATACCTTAAAGTGATACAAGGTTAGCTTTTAAAAAAGCTAGTAGCGACTCGCTTCGTTTTTTTCCATGGGTGTGTTTAAATGTAAAAATGACAGTTCTGTTAGCTGAACAGACTTCAGCGAACATCAAAATAAAAGTGACATATAAAGTTATGGAAGCCAGTTCTCTCAGTTTAACAAAGAGTAATATGAGTATATATGATGATGCATGTAAACAGATAGAATGAAGTCCCTATGTCTATGCACATTTACTATATGGCCTGTTGACCTTGACCAAAAAAATGTTAGATAGGTAGAATTCATAAAGATGTCTCTTATACGAAGTTAAGTTGTAAAATGTTGGGTGCGGCGAATTTAGATTCATGGGGCATGATTAACATTTGATTTGTACAAGTTCTCAAGGCATTGGTACATATTCAATATTAAAGCTGGAGGCATTGAAGTTTAATATCAATATTACTTAAACATATTTTCCCTAAGCATTTTAATAAAATTAATGTCCACTTCATTTGGTATGTGAAACATTTTAAACAAATGGATATGATGAAGATACATGAACAAAATTTAAAGTGATCAACAAGGCAATACCACATACCACATATTTAAGGTTTAGGCATTAATAAAGTATAAAGTTGTGCATATATGTTTCTATATAAGACGTGTCCTTGACCTATGTGCAAAACAATATGAACAACTATGTCAGAGGACACCTGTAGTGTGGTTTTATAATGTGCAGTCTTTGGTTTCTTAGATATCATTTAAAGAGAAACTAAATAACACATTAGGGACAACATATGAATAGGGATCCCGATTGCTGTTTACGCTCACTAGAGCACAACTTGCTCAAAGTGAGCATAAAAGGGAATTATATTGTAAGAGGGCTTGGTCTCCTGTATAAAGATTCAACGACAATAATCAACACAAATATAGTTTATTCCTTTTCCCTATATATCTAATACTATCCCGGGCGTCCCGGATCCCGGGATTTTCTCGGCCGATTTTTCCCACCCTAAATACCGGAGAGAATATAATGACCGAAAAAAAGAAAAAGAAAAAAAAATGCACAGAACCAGATGTACACTTATGTAAATTAACCAAACGAAAACTTACTACAGAGAAAACAGGTAAAATCGCTAAATCAAAAGTCAGTGTAAATATGATTTATTGAAAAGAATTTATGAAATCAAACATTTTAATCATCATTATATCTTTGCCCTCAAATTAATACTTGCTGCTTTTTAAAAATGGCGTGAAAATTGAAGGTTTTTTGACGCTATGTAAGATTAAATTTGATTGGCTAAAAAATTCTGGATTCCAGCCCTGACAGATAAAATTTGTAGAAAGCTGGAAGCCAAGCTTCGATTAAATTTTTGGATGGATTCGGAGTTTAAGGTTGTTTCTCAGTAAAATCCTAACGTAATACCGGCTCGTCGTGGCGAGCCGGTAAAACTATTAACTTTAGATGTATTTTTCGTGCCGTTTTGTAAAATGACATGGTAAGAGCAGTTTAAATATTAGTCCAGTCATTCTAGCTCAAAATAGAGACAAACCTCAAACAAATTGCAACAGAAAATATTTTGAGTGTTTTGAAACCCCAGACCTATATTGTATAACATATCAAAAGTCTAGAAAAATCTAAATTTGAGAATGTTTTCAAAAATTGAGATCATATATATGGGTATCATTGTATTTATTTTTTTAATTTAAACTCAATGTAATACATACATAAAATTTTCCAATCAGTTTTATATATAATATGCATAAAAATATAGCTTAATCTATCCCTATAGTAACATAAAGTAATCAAAAAGTTGTTTTTGTTTAAAGAAAATACTTTTACCTTTCTAAAATTTATTAATTAACTTAAGTGGGTGGGGTAATATTATATTTTTACATTGCTGTAGATCAACCATTTATTGAAAGCTCTATGTAATATAATATTAAACAGAAAATACATAATGGTTTACGTACATGTGAAAAATGTCAAGTTTCAACGTTTTATGAATTTAATTTACATTCCATCAATAATTAATGCATATATTGAAATATTTATATTAACATTGTACAGCTAGTGGGTGGGGTAATTTTATACAAAATAAAAAAAACATTAAGGAAATTTATATTATCTATGATAATTATATTGAGTATTATACTAACTTGAATACTTTCAAGCACATCTGTTGTATATTTTTCTGAGTCATTAAATAACATCATGAAATTGGGTCAAAAGATGTGACATTGACCTTTTGGAAGGTCAATTTCAAATATTTGATACATTTGAGCATAAAATGTAAAAAAAAATATTTGCAAATTTTTTTTGGTAAAATATCTTCGCTAAGCATAAGCACAAGAATGTCATGACTTTTACAAAGCGTCACTCGCTTCTGTAATTTCTGGTCGACCAATCTTTCACTTTTTATCACTAGATGGTAGCACCTGAAATTCTTCTGTATCTTTTCCAGTTCTGAAATTAGACTAGCATAAACATGTTTGATGGTAAAGAGCATCCTCTACAACCTGTTCTATCCTTGCTCTCACTGTATCAGACAAACAGTCATTCCTCTGTATACATATATTCAAAACAGTAGGTTCTAGTGTCCTAACTGGCGAAACATCACACTTCCTTGTTTTACCCTTACTTATTAAAGATTGACCACAATATAAACAATCTTTTTTGTGTGAAAACTTATCAGTCATTGATCTCAATGGTGGCATCAGTGTTTTCTTTTCCTGTCTTAGTGTCTCTTTTAGTGTAATGTGGGTTACAGTACATCTTTCTACACTCAATGTGAATATATTATTCCGATTCAACTTTTAAACTGTCATTTTATTTCTCACTGGCAGCATTTATTCCCTTGCATTCCTTTTCGTTGCCTTTAACTGTCTTTGTATGATCATCAAACAGCCGTTATCCAATCCGAAAGGAGTTCATCTTGAAAAAAAAAACAATAACTGATATTGTAAGATTTATAAAATCTGTTTTTTACATTATATGGAGGTTGATCCAGAATTACCCAAAATTTGTTTATAATTCTGATAACTTTTTATGTTTTCTTCATTAAATTTATAAATGCGCAAAGATCGATGTTTCTTCTATTTAATTGCCAAATATAATTGATTATAAACATCCAGTACCGTCTCAGGCCGCCTTAAATAACCCTGGATATGCCACAGCAACACGACGTTCGTTGAAATTTATAATACACCAAAGTGCCTGACACAAAAAGGGATCATGTCCAATATTTGCCGAAGGTTAATGTAAAGCCTGCTAAAATTTCACGTCGTTTGAACATTGTATTTTTGTGTAATCATTTGTAATTGCAACGTTTATTTATGCAAAAACGTCTTCATTAAGGCGTCAGAAAACGGCACTTTCATAAACATTTGTCAACTGTTTAGACAGCCTACCATAGAAACATCTAATATGATAAAAGAAATTCGACACAAGTATTTTGTTAGTCATGCATACAAAACTTTTTGAGGGGTAAAGAAGTTTTTTTACCAGACTGTTGGAGTAATTTTAAAGATAAATACATATCGTTTGCGGCATAGAAGAATACGCGTGAAGTTAACGTTCTCCGTCGCTGTGGCGATTGAAAAATACAAATATGCTGTCATATGCGGCCTTACACAATTTCAATGCGATTTAAAAAAATGAATTCTAATTGACGATTGTGTGCTGTTTTTCATACTTTATTTGTTTTCTTTTACATGCACTTTTTATCTAATGAAATTGTATGAATCATATATTTTATGCCTTCAGCTTTAAGATGATCTTGTGTATGAATCACAGCAATCAAAGCAATTAGCAGTTCAATAGTCATAGGTTTAGGTTGTTAGTACACTTACAGTGAATGGCATCGGGAGGATTCCCTATGTATAAGAACAATAGAACATCAACCTTTTTTGCATAATGTGACAAATCCTATCTTTGCTTATATGGTAGGCATACTGTGTTTATTTATCATATTCTTGTTTCCTTGTAAAGAGGATATATTACGCAGTAATAAAGTGTTTGTAATATGAACTTTGAATAAATATTATTGAATTTATTGTTTAAATTACGGGTATTTCTGGATCATCCCTTGCATTCTTGTATTCTGGTTATTTGTAGCTGATTACGTACTGTTTCAGTTATCCCAGAACAGTACGTGTTATTATAAGATGTATTTTTCCTAAAAGGCTTTCCTTAAAATGTTTTAGGTGTATTTATTTGATCAAAGTTGCTGATATGACACACATTTCTTGCATATCAGACTGGCGTTTCCGTTAGTATTGCCCATGCCGGAAATTTCATCTGGTATAGGGGGTGCCAGATGAGTCGCGTGCTGTATAATGTCACGCTTAAGCCCCAGTCACATTAGAGCTTACAACCAGTGAAGACCAGTTCACGATCACCAGTGACATCTGGTCGCGGACAATCTTTAAAACGTGTTACGACGGTCATCGGTGATCTTTGACAGTCGCAGGCTATCTTCTTTAGGTTCCACGACCAATTTCAGTCGTAGAGAGGTTTTTGAGCTTGCACAAAAACCTCCTTGCGATCAAACAGGTCGCTAGTGATCTTATAAGGTCTTAGGCTGTCGCACGATGGTCGTTCAGAAGTGCGACAATCTTACGACAGTCTTTACAAATTGCCACTAGCCACTGATAATCATGAGTAGTCTTTAGTAATCGTGTGATGGTCGTACGACTAGTTGTAGGTGATCGCATGACAGGTCACGGGTAGCCGTAAGTAATCCCACACAATCTTGAGACCATCGTACGTTTGCTTATGACCTTGTCGTGCGATTGTCAATGATGACTGGTCTTACGATAGTCGCAGAAGTAAATTTATACGTGCAAAAATGGTTTTGGTCGCAGACAATCGCTGATGATCGTCAGTTTTACAAGTCGCCGGTGGTCGCAAGTAATCTTAAGCTCTAGTGTGACTGGGGTTTTAGGATGACGTAATTTTACCGTTATGAATGAAGTTGTAATTTCATACGCTGTTGTACGAAAATAGTTTCGGTTGTAATGTCATAAATTCCCATTGAAAATTAAGATAAAGAATTCAAAATATAATGTTATATCGTAAAATATGCAAGAAAAAATATCTGACATATGTTTGCGGTTCGGATCGGAATATCCGTCCCTCGGTAACCCGCCCATGTGCGGTAACTCGGCAAGCCTCGTTACCGCCCAATGGGCGGGTCACCTCGGGACGGATATTCCGATCCGAACTGCAACATATGACAGATATTATTATTATTTTCTAAGGTTTTAATCTAAAATTATAAATATAAAATACCTACTGGTTAAAGTGTTTGGAAGTAACGTAAAGATAAAGTCACATATTGAGTTTAAAAATATCAGCTATCAATTTTAAGCATTTCTAATGCCCATCCGTGCATGCATTAAAAACTATTTGTACTGATATGTTACTATATGGAACTTATGACACACTTTAAAAGTTTGCTTAATATATGAAAAATATCATTAAAGTGATTTTGTGAAACAAATGTCTCACCTATGCATCTTTACCTTTAACTCGTATACATCACAGTGTCCTCAGAACACATGATTGGGCATAACCATTGGCTCTGGTGTGTTGATGAAATCTGTAACATAGAAATTACTTCAAGTTTCTTATTTTCATATTTACGTGAAATATGGTTCTATAGAATACACAGATGTTTTTATTGTTACATTTATTTGCTTAAATTTTGTTTTTAAAAGTGATAAAATTATACTATAGTCAACTTAGATGTGCATTCCGAAAGAAATACTAATATATCACTGTGAATTAATCTTATACACGTAATGCACTTTTTCAAATTCGCGCAGGTGCTATTGTATGCATAAAGATTTTCTTTTGAATTTTGGATCAACTGTGCATGTTTAGCTTGAACTCATACACATCGCCAATCATGAACCAAAACTAGAAATCACGTTTGTTTATTGATAAATTTTTCATGTCACCTTTTCATGTATAAATTTCTTCTATGTCTATTAAAAACTGAAAATAATTTCAGATATATTGAATTATGCATACGACGCTCTATTTCCTCCATGTTTAATATTCACTTAAACTAGTAAAAGAAAATGTTTGATATTTGTGTTATATATGTAAAAATATTACAAATGTAAGCACAAGAAAGCAAACTTACTCATTTAGTGTACATATAGTTTACTGGATTTTTTTTTATTTTCAAAATCAAGCATACATCAATGAAGACTACCTCAAAGCGGTACCCCTGAAATAATAATAACATTAAACACATTATATATGTAAAACAATTTTAAAAAACTATTAAGAAATACAAAAAAACAACGTTGAATACACATTTAACAATAAAACATGATTAAAGTATTCAGAATTTATTTAACGTAATTCGTCATAATTTAAGTGATAATGGCGTTCCATAGTTTAAAAATACTGTCGAAATTAACTTGTTATAAATACACATGTTTAGGGCGATTTTGAATGTTAACTAACACAGGAGTTAATCAGAGTTGTAATTTATATAAATTAAACTGTTTTCCATGAAAAGTATAATACAGATCGCTTGAAACACCCGTTGACCTTCAACGGATAAAGAACTGGTAAACAAGTAATAATTTTCAACAAATACTCATCATAAACTTACGACCACACATAAATAATTCCTATTATGATCTGTAATATTTTAAAGAAAATATACCAACCCACTTTACAGTGTACTTTACTGACATTTATTTTGTTTACACTTATTTTGTTGTTGTTGTCGCCAAATTATGCAGTCGCTATTCTGAGTATCGGAAACGCTTTGTTCGCCTATGGAAGACCGTTGTCGTCAGAACAAAATCACAAAAAATAACGCGATAAAAACCCGTTTTTTTCTATGTTGCGCAACTTAGATTTTGCTAGACTTTTGATATGATTCATGTTATTCCATATACTTTCTATACCAGTTAAAATATTTTCTGTTGCAATTTGTTTGAGGTCGATTTACAGACTGACTGGACTATATGTGCCTGGTAGCGTGTCAGTTTCATAATCAATAATACGACCATAGAGTTATCTGAAGGTCGTGAGTTCGATCCTCACCCGGGGCATTCATTTTTTCTTCAGGGTTTATTATGTTCATCCGATTTTGAAATGTACCATTAACAATTAATTAGTAAAAAAAAGAACCAAGGGGAATTTAATTCTTCAGGGAAGGCTAAACATCGCAAGTACGATATTTCACATAGATGCATAAATTCACGTAATGTTAAAAGCAGGAATATAAACAGTTTATACAACAAGAGCTGTCTGTAGGACAGCATGCTCGACTATTCTAAGTGCTTGATATTAAAAGAGCCTTGATATTGTTAAATTTTTCAAGTTGACAAAAGGGCTAATTTTTTTTTTTTATAAATTCATGTTATAGGCCTTACAGAGAGTATAATTTTACAGAGTTGGCTTGACTATTCGGAAGGTAATGTCACAAGGGTATTTTATTGAGTATAATAATACTAATTACCTATGAATACATAAATTTGACGGAAAAGGTACAAAGGCTTGTTATTAAGATGTTTTATCAAGTAAATCACTGCTTTATTATTATGAATGCATAAAATTGTCCCAAAGAAGGCACAAACCCTTCAGTATTTTTGAGATAACAGCTTACAAGCAAAACTTTACCATGAATTTCTAAGTTGAAAAAGGGGAAAAAAATCAGCCTAAATGCAAGATAGAATTATGGATCTTTGTCAGTGACCTACAATTATGACCCTAAATGCATATGTGAAGTTTTAGATAAATATCTTTAATAGTTATTGAGATATGTAAAACTTGCATTGTAAACATTAACCAAGAGACTAAGTAGAAAGGGGATATGAATCAGCCTAATGCAAGATAGAATTATGGAATTTGGCAGTGACATACAATTATGACCCTCCAATTAAGACCCTAAGTGCATGTGTAAAGTTTCAAGTAAATATCTTTGAAGATTATTAACCTTTAACCAAATTCTAAGTTTCAAAGGGGCAAATAATTCTGCAAATATTGCAGACAAAGTTATGCAATTTTGCAAACTGATGTACATTGTTACTATAAATAAGTATTTTTAAATTTCAATTGAATATCTCAAGCAATAATTGAGATATTTGAACTTTACAAAAAAACTTTAACCAAAATTTCTAAGTTTCCAAAGGGGCATAATTCTGTCAATATGGTAGGCAGAGTTATCCAACTTGTCAATCTGATGTACATTGTTACTATAAATAAGTATTTTAAATTTCAATTGAATATCTCAAGCAATAATTGAGATATTTGACTTTACAAAAAACTTTAACCAAAATTTCTAAGTTAAAAAGGGGCATTATTCTGTCAATATTGTAGGCAGAGTTATCCAACTTGTCAATCTGATGTACCTTGTTACTATTAATAAGTATTGTAAGTTTCAATTGAATATCTCAAGCAATAATTGAGATATTTGACTTTACAAAAAACTTTAACCAAAATTTCTAAGTTAAAAAGGGGCATAATTATGTCAATATTGTAGGCAGAGTTATCCAACTTGTCAATCTGATGAACCTTGTTACTATAAATAAGTATTGTAAGTTTCAATTGAATATCTCAAGTAATAATTGAGATATTTGACTTTACAAAAAACTTTAACCAACGCAGACGCCGATGCGGACGCTGACGCCGACGCCGACGCCGGGGCGACTACAATAGCTCTCATATTCTTCGAATAGTCGAGCTAAAAATGGCTGTCAAGATATTTTAAATGTCTGCTTATATATATATTCATATATATATATGATATATATTTTGTATTATTTTTTTGTGATTTTTGATTATTTTACAAAATATCTTTTTTACTTGACCTGCATATTCACATGCAATTTTATGCAAACGTTAAATTACTATACATAAAATGTTTCAGTTGAATCAGAACATATACCAGATTAATTCTAATAACAATTTTTAATAAAACGACTGCTCAAATAGTCTATTCAGTATCCACTTTTGAATATTAAATGTACCTCTATTGTGGCAAGAAATTGTCGTTTGCTATTTGTTTTAATGCTGACAGTTTCGAATACGTACGTGTCATAGGGGATACATAAAACTTCTGCTCAAACTCTTTTCTAATTAATAAATGAATTAATGCAAATGGCGCAATGCAAATACTGGTGAAAACCATCTACGTGTTTAATAAAAGTAACAAGTACAAAATAAAAGTAACATGTACAAAAATTATTATCAAATTTTACCACTGAAATATGGTGCTAAATCAGTCAAATATACTCTTTTTTTAAAAATATGAAAGTGGGCGGAGTCAAAACTAATATTTTTTTCAAGGGACTTCTTTCGCCATTTTGTTTGGAAAATCTGATAAATACAAAAGAACGTTTTTGTTGATTTTTTTTTTTTTGAAAACTATCTTGAGTGATGGAAAATGGTCTAACAAAGAAAATAAATCCAATATCTTTAATTCAGTCATTAACGCTGTACAGACGTTTAAAGTGTTGTTCACGTGACGTCCTTTGAAGCGCCAAATGTCGCGTTCAAAACAAAACAATAATTATATTACTGTGCGCTGTACAATTGCAGTTGCGTGACAAGCAAGGGGGTATGTAACCATTTTTTTATGATGAAATTAAATAAAAAGGTTAGTTTTTTCTTTTTCCGTGAAACATGGTATGTATTTTCACTCAACATGATAAATTGCCACGTATTTTACTCGCCGTCCCGGCTTGTGAAAATATTTGGCATTTTATCATGTTGAATGAAAATATATTCCATATTTCACTCAACGAAAGCATATCCTTTTAATATTATTATTAATTACACATCACAATCTTAACCAGTCCTCTCTACTTAAATGATCCATTTACATTGAAGAATTTTATAAATTTGTCTCAAAAATTGCCATAAGCACATCAAAATAAAATTATCTTGTGACTAATGCATCTGCAATTAGTAAAGTCGTTTGAAATAGAAATGTCTTTAATTAAATGCACGCCATTCATTCTATTTGTTATCACATCATATCAAAGTCTAGTTTGAAGTTTCCTAAAAATATTTGTTCAGTCAACTCAAATATTATGCACAAACTCTGTCTACCGAGGGGTTGCTCATAAGAGTTAAGGCATCAGCAATGCATTCACCGTTTTAACTCTGCGTGATCGTTAGAGACGATTGAATTGGTTCGAATTATTGGACTCTATGCATCTCCTCTTTTGACTCATTGTTGTTTGTAACAAAATCATACTCCCTGGTTGGTGCCATATGGTCATAAATTGTTTTGGTGTGCCGTATAACAAAACAAAACAAATATTATGCTTCAATTGTAAATTTGAAAATACTGATTTTTACTATACAGTCACTTTTTAGGTATAAAACAAACATATTTTGAATGCAGACATAGCAAAAAGATACGTTTTAAACTTAACACACTTAAGATTATGAATAAAACAAAGGATTAATTACAAAATTTTGAAACAAAGTTATCCCTCGGAAGCATTAATCACGACAAAATTACATGAAAATTTCTTGGTTTGATTGAGCCTGTACATGAGAGATAATGAAAAATTGCATTCTTCCTCACGCCCTCTAGCAACAGCTTGAGCGGTATTCCATTCTCAACACATATTGCGCCACTCGTGAAATATACCTTTTGGTGCTCACTCGGTGAAATATATTCCGATCTTACACAAAACTAAACAAATTTTCTTTTTATTATATGCATTGAAACGTTTAAAAAAGACATTAAACATAATACTAAATGAAAAGTGCGCCAAATAATAATACAACGTGACGTCATTTACGACGTCACGTCATTAAGTTGGTACCCAGTACTGTGCACGCTGGTATTTCACTGGAACAACGTAAGGGGCTTAAATTCAAAACAGTGAAATTATCAAAGTGATAATTTCACTGTTTCAAACAGTGAAATTACCAGTTTTTATTTCACTGATATATTTCTATAAACCACCGAAAAGCATGTAATAATAAAGGCATCAATGATCAAGAAGGACCAGAGAAATATAACAACACTGAAAAACCTTTTTTTTTTGGCATTACAGTATTTTTCACAAAAGTCAAATGTGACATTTTTTCAGTGATAAACATAATTATTGCTTAAGCTTATAACTATTGCATAATGAGTGACATGTGACATATTTGGTAAGAATTGTCATTACAATTATTGTTGTATATACAATGTCGTCAATATTTAAGATTTAAGGTTATGTTTTTACTCTGCAAGCTTAACACAAATCTGTGATTTAAGTTCGTGTATAGTCACATACCATGCTTGTATAAGTGTAAGTACTTTTTATTGTTTGGTTTTATTAACCTGTCAATTACATACTGTTTACACGGTCGATGCACACAGTATATTAATCTTCGGTAGATGTTCGGTAAGTTCCGTGAGATGTACGCTGTACGATGGAATTGAAATTTAATTTGTATCTCTAAACTATGTGTACTCAGCGTTATAGCGCAATAGGGTAAATCACGAGTTTATAATCTAAGTGCCACACGTGTTTTAAGTTCGACACCGCGTTGGTCAATGTTTTTTTCTTATTAATATTCTCAACATTATTGAATCTATATATGATTATTTTATGTTTTATGTTGTTCGTTTTGTTTGATTGTTTTTCTTAATTTTGTTATGTACTAGTATATACTCTTTTTAAATAACATGTTTTTTTAAGAATTCATGTTTAAAATTAAAACCGATTGAAATCAATAAATGTCTTTTCAATGCCGCAAAACACACTACAAATCTGTTCCATTAAAATATACTGCAAAAATAAAGAAAGAGTACTAAAACAATGGCAACAGTAAGGATCGAACCACAGACCTCTCAATTATCAGGCATTCTCTTTACCGACTGTCCTATTGTGAATTAACGAAAAACTTTACATTAAGCTGGCGTGACTTTCAATCCATGACTAATATACTCCACATTAATTCTCGTAAACTACACGGACCAAACCGAAGTGGGATCGA